CAACAAGCTTAGCCCCCTTCTCAGCAGCCTCCTCAATTGCTGTTCGAGCATGAATAATATTCCTTTCCTTATCTGATGTCACTGCTAATTGACATAGCCCAATCTTAAACTGCTCATTCAACATAAAATTCACAAATCAAAAATGGATTAAACAAAATTCACCAATCAAATCAACTATAACCACAACTCAACTTAGGTGAGTGAGACTGGTAATTTTTAATTCAAATAAGTGAAGTTAAATTAACTAAACTATTCAAATAAAAAATCACTTATACATGCACACAGTTAATACACACACACAAAAAAAAGGGGGAGACCTTTGTGATGGAAGGAGAGGGCAATTGAAGAGCGGGAGGAACCCTAGCTTGTTCAGGCTTGAAAGAGGAAGCCATGGAAGAAACTGATGCAGTGCGGGTTGTACGTGCTGAAAACTGCAGATTGCTGCTTCGAGTGGTTGTACGATTTGGAATGATGTGAAAAGGAAAATGGAGTAGGAGTGAGGGTGCAGGCCGTACAATGGACCGAGAAATGGAGGATCCAATCACTGAAGAAGAAGAAAGGGTTGAAGACAAGAAGACGAATCCAATTCTCATTTCAACTTCAATTTCTCTTTCATTTTCATTTTCTGCTCAAAGCCAAAGTTAATTACACCGACTAAAATTACCAAATTGTCCCCCATGTTTGTGATTCTTAGCAATTGTGTCTGCTATGTGGTGACTCAAACACTTGTGTTGAGTATGGACTCTTGCATGCACTTGTTTTTTTTTAACTAAAATTAAGGGGATATAACACCCACATGTGACACGAATTTTTATTTTGATATATACTCATTTGATCACAAAAAGGTTAGCATTATTATTATTATTTGAAGAGCTAAAAGATACTTCTTTAATTATTACTTTAAAATATTAAAGATATGATTCATAGAAGTAGTAGCTTTTAATGTAGTTGTCTGAATATGTATGTTTTAGTTTAAGAAAAAAATAAGAAATGAATGTTCTTTCTCCCCTAAAGTGAGATGAATGGATCATACTCAAACATTTTTGCCAAGTTGAAGGGAGCATAACTTGGTAATCGACTTGAAATATATATTAAAACATAATATTGATAACTATAAGTGATATTAGTCTGCTGATTGGTAAGTCATATATATATATATATATATATTAAATTTTCAACATGAGATATATTTAGGATAAGTGGCTACCTATTTTGTTTTTGGAAGTCACTATTGGAGAGGATGGTGCACTGAGGATGCAGGGCATGCTATGTGTGCCCAATGTAGATGGTTTGCGTGAGTTGATTCTCCAGGAAGCTTACGGTTCGCGGTACTCCATTCATCCGGGTGCCGCGAAGATGTATCAGGACTTGAGGCAACATTATTGGTGGAGGAGAATGAAGAAGGACAAAGTGAAATATGTAACTCGGTGTCTAAATTGCCAACAGGTGAAGTATGAGCATCCGCGCCCAGGTGGGTTGCTTCAGAAGTTAAAGATTCCGGAGTGGAAATGGGAGCGGATCACTATGGATTTTGTTGTTGGGCTTCCACGGACTCAGCGGAAGTTTGATGATGTTTGGGTTATTGTGGATAGCCTAATCAAGTCAGCCCATATCATTCCTGTGATGACTACTTATTCCTTCAAGCAGCTGGCTCGAGTTATATCCGCGAGATTGCCAGGCTTCATGGCGTGCCGATATCTATCATCTCTGACCGGGGCACGCAATTTACATCGCGGTTCTGGAGGGCCATACAACATGAGTTAGGTACTCGGGTTGAGTTGAGCACAGCATTTCACCCTCAGACGGACAAACAGTCCGAGCGCACTATTCAGATACTAGAGGATATGTTCCGTGCGTGTGTGATGGAGTTTGGGGGTTCTTGGGATCAGTTCTTGCCACTTACGGAGTTTGCCTAAAACAACAGTTATCAGTCGAGCATTCAGATGGCACAGCATGAGGCTTTGTATGGTAGACGGTGTCGGTCCCCAGTGGGTTGGTTCGAACCGGGCGAGGCTGGGCTTTTGGGTGTAGACTTGGTTCAGGATGCCTTGGAGAAGGTTAAGGTGATTCAAGATCAACTTCGCACAGCCCAATATAGACAGAAGAGTTATGCGGATCGAAAGGTCTGCGATGTTGCATTCATGGTTGGAGAGCGGGTCTTGCTCCAGGTTGTGCCCATGAAAGGCATTATGAGGTTCGGGAAGAAAGGCAAGCTAAACCATAGGTTTATTGGCCCATTCTAGGTGTTGCGGCGAGTTGGGGAGGTTGCTTATGAGTTTGCCTTGCCTTCCAGCCTGGCAGGAGTCCATCCGGTATTTCATATTTCTATGCTCCGGAAATATCACGGCAATCCGTCTCGTGTGTTTGATTTCAGCTCAGTCCAGTTGGACAAGGATTTATCTTATGTTGAGGAGCCGGTGGCTATTTTGGACAAGCAGGTTCGAAAGTCGAGGTCAAAGAACATTGCTTCAGTGGAGGGGTCAGACGTTCGAGGAGGTGACTTGGGAAACAGAGCATGATATGCGCAGCCGTTATCCTCATCTTTTCATCACTTCAGGTATGTCTCTATACTCGTTCGAGGACGAACGATTGTTTTAAAAAGGGGAGTATGGAGCGCAGAAGTGGGCGCGCAGGTACGACCCTTGTTCGTAGAAGCGGACTTTGAGGACTTAAGTGAAGTCCGCACCTGCGATGGTTTTTCCGCAGGTGCGGAACCGCAGAAGCGGTGAATCCCTCGCAGAAGCGGATTAACTGGGTAGAAAAAGGGAAATTTCGAGGGTTTGATCTCATTTTCACTTTGGGACTTTGAGAGCTCGAATTTGGGCGATAATTTGAAGGATTTTCAGTGGAAGCTATTGAGTAACGATTCTTAACTCATTTATGGTTATATTCCACTAATCTATAGTTGATTTCATCATTTAATTAAGGATTTGGGTTGAGAAGTTTGGGAAAAACGTTGGAAAGTTCTTCAACCAAAATTTTGAGTTTTGATCGGGATTTGATATCGATTTGGATAATTGTGGTACGAGTGAACTCGTGGTTGAGGTGGTGTTCGTATTTTTGTGAATTTTACCCGATTCCGAGACGTGGGCTCGGTCGACTTTTTGGAGCAATTTTCTAATTTCTTGCTAAAGTCTTGATTTCATTGATTAGATTAGTTTCTTATAGTTATATTTATGGTATGTAATTGCTTTTGGCTAGATTTGGGCCATTCGGAGTCGGAAAATGCATTCTTACTGATTGATTCAGCCTGGTTCGAGGTAAGTGGCTAATTTCTTGCTAAAGTCTTGATTTCATTAATTAGATTAGTTTCTTATAGTTATATTTATGGTATGTAATTGCTTTTGGCTAGATTTGGACCATTCGAAGTCGGTAAATCGTGGAAAAGGCATTCTTACTGATTGATTCAGCCTGGTTAGAGGTAAGTGGCTTGTCTAACCTTGTGTGGGGAAAATCCCCTTAGGATTTGGTACTGTTGTGATACTTCTGTGATATGTGAGCGCCGTGTACGCGAGGTGACGAGTGTGTACATGGGCTAATTATTGTAAAATTCGTTTTTTACTGAGTAGTAACCTGTTACATCTTAATTGTGTTATACCAGCATGTGTAGTTATCCTGTTTAGCCTAATATCGCATATTTACGTGTCTTAAATGCTTATTTGAAATATGTGCAGCATGCTTAGTTGGTTTCCTATTTTCCTTGATATGTAGCAGTCTTAATTGTAAAATTCTTGCTGTTAATTGTTGTAGTCATCGGTTTCGAGCTGTGTGTTTACTTTTGGGACTACGAGGTGGTACCTCGGGAGATCCCCCTGCACATTTACTTTTGAGACTACGAGGCGGTAACTCGGAGAATCTCCTTGCATATTTACTTTTGGGACTACGAGACATTATCTCGGGAGATCCCCTGCTGTTTATCCCTATGTGTTGCGCTGCTATTTTTCTGTGGTTTTCTCTTGTTAAATTTCCAGTCTCTTATTACATTGCTATATTCTTCTGCCTTATTTATTATATACCAGTAGGGCCCTGACCTGACCTTGTCACTACTCGACGTTAGGCTTGGCACTTACTGGGTACCGTTGTGGTGTACTCATGCTACTCTTTTGCACATGTTTTATGTGCAGATCCAGGTACTTCTTATCACCCTCGATATCAGTGAGCAGTGAGATTGTGGAGACTTCAAGGTATATCTGCCCGCGTCCGCAGACCTCGGACTGCCCCTCTATTCGCTCCTATGTCATTTACCTTTCCGTACTTTCTTAGATTCTGGTGTATAGAGATACTTAGTTTTTCTTCTATAGCTTGTGACTTATGACTATCGGGTTTTGGGAATATTATTAATACTCGAGTGTTGGTTATTGTAGATGCCGAGCGGCATTTTTATCAGTTATTTAATTATTTGTTGCAGTTTAGTTGTTAAATTTTGCTTTCATTTTCGTTATTCCGCAAATGTTAGGCTTACCTTGTCGTAGATATTAGGTGCCGTCACGACATCTTACGGAGGGAGAATTGGGTTGTGATTTGTTGAGTGTCTTTTGGTTCTCAAAGTTTAGTTCTGGTAATTTCATTTCTTAAAGTTTGTTGAGTGTCTTTAGCTTCAAATTTATTTTTTGTGATTACAAAAATGCGATTAGTGTCTTTGACTTGTGTATATTTGAAGCACTTTGGTTCGCATTTGTTTTAGAGACAAAACTAAGAAATCCAAAAACTAACTTTTAAATTTCCGAAAACTGAGTTTGAAAAACTTCATATTTGTTTTATGCAAAACAAAGACAGAGAGAAATTTTGAAAAAAAGAAAAATAGAAATCAAAAGGCTAATTACGGTGTCGTTCCTCAAACAAGTTTTGCTGATCTTCATGGTGCACCGCGTCACATCTGATTATCTCTTAATTTCCCGACAGTACAAATTCAAAATGAAGTAAGCAACGGTTATTAACTTCCCCTTCACTCCCGCCCCTTCTACTATTCATCCTCAAAACTCCGTTCGAAATCTGTTTTCTTCAACTATATTTTCCTCTCTCTCAACCCATAACCCCGACGATTGATACTTTTCCCAAAGGTTTTCCGTTGTGGCGCCGCTTGGTCTAGGCCAAGCGTCGTCGCAAAATATGGACTATCCAACATCCATTGTGCCTTACCATGACCCTTTTGATGATTCTCATTCTATTGACCAAATTTCACTTTTTGATGAAAATCCAACCATTGGCCTTCCAAAATCATCATGGAATCAAGAACGCTTTACATTTGATCCAACAATTTTGAAGTCTAATAATGATTTTGATGGTGATTTTGGTGTATATGATCCGTTCGATGATCCAATTTTGCTAGACATTCCATATGAATGTAACAATTATTTGGTTGAAAATAGTACTAATACTGAGTCAGGAGTTTTCGGGACTAATTACTGCAGCATTTCACAAGATGGGGTGTTTGAAAATAAAAGTCATGTCTCAGTTTGGCCGGTGTTATCATCTTCATCTATGTGTACTAATAATTGCCAAATCCTAAGAGAAATAACACATTCTAATGGTGAGTGTATACACAATTTATTGTTTTAAATAAGCAAAGTAATTTAGCAATTTTTGGTTTTTTTTTACTGGTTTGGTATTTTCACAGGCTTGCAGATATCTAAGCTTGATATTTATGGAACACTAGGAAGGATTAGTCATGCAGTTCTTGAGAAATACACTACAGATTTTTCTTCTCAAAGCCATGAGTCTTCCCAAATAATTGAGTATGGAGTTAGTTCTTGTATTACTCTTCTATTTCCCCCTCTTTTGCTCTAGTTTATAATGTCCTAAGCCTTTTTATTCTCTTTACCTTTATATCTTTTTTGAGCCGAGGTCCACTTGAAACAGCCTCTCTACTTTCTCAAGGTCGGGGTAACGACTGCATACACACTACCCTCCCCAGACCCCACATGTGGGATTTCACTGGTTTTGTTGTCGTTGCTCTAGTTTATAATGAACTTTTACTACTTGTTTGACGAAATTAACTTTAGTTTTTATCTTCTGCTTTAACAGCTTTAGCAAGGATAGTACAAGTAGTGTGAAGCAATTTTTAGTTCAATATTTTGAGGCTTGTAAGCTTGAAGGTTACATTTTGCTACAAGATCCACTCTGTGATTTCTATGAAGCATTAGGTGTTGGATCTGATGATGGCGATAGTCTTGACATCGATAGTCTTCTTCAGTTATCTCCAACAACTTCCCGTTAGTATCTTCTTCGATCAGTTCTTTAATCTGAAAAAGTATAAAAGAAATTACTATACTTTTTTACTAGCTTAAGTTACCTTGTGTGGATGATATTCTATTTGAATGTGGTCTAAATGATAAATATTTACCACCAGGTGATTGCCAAATGAACCAGCAAGAGATGAAAAACGAAGGCGAGGTGAACTGCAATGACATGAGACATGAAAAGATTCCCCTTTCTGCACAGGTTTGTACTATGTTACCTGTCACATGGAGAGCTTATTAATATGCATCTTAAACAGGACTTGATTGTTACTATTAGTATTTATGTAGAGATTATGTCCTCTTTAGCATTGTAGTATTTTGCATTCTGATCGCTTTTTTTCTTTAATAGAGCAGAGGGAAAGAACTGGAAAGTTGAGATTGAAAGACTTTGCAGGATATCTCCATCTTCCCATTGAGATAGCAGCTAAGAAACTGAACATATGTCCTACTGTCATGAAAAAGGTTTGTCGAAGGGATGGCTTGTTAAGATGGCCCTATCGAAAGGTCTCTTTCTTTTACCCTTTCACCACCACGCCTTATTTTTTAGTACTACGATAATCTGAGGTTATTCGTATTTTCTTGGAAATGATTGCAGATTAAAAGCATTAGGAGGAAGATATCGAAGAGAGAAAAGAGTTTAAGCTCTAATGATGTTGAAGAAAGGGCGAGCGCAAAGGCAGACATAGCAAAGTTGGAAGAAGAACTTGCCAAAATTTTTGAAGCATTTGTTAGCTGATTTCACTAATTATGTTTAAGTTAAATCGCATAGGTTATCTCTTATGAGTTACTGTATTAGTGATGTTCTACCGGTTTTGCTTAGAAGATTAGCTATTCATTAAATCTATACTGTATTTATACTTGAGGCGGATTCAAATGTACAAAATGAGCTTTATTATATACATGAGTACATAGAAAGGAGTTTCATCTTTCTTCCTTTCCAGATTATTTTCTATGTTAAAGTTTGCAGTTTATTTTCTCCGCGTTTCCAAGAGTCTTAGACTACATTTCATTGGTTGTTCTATGCATGATTGTTGTTTGTACTCATGCTCAACTCCTTAGCTAGTTAAAGGACAAAAGTTTTGCTGTTGTATTCTCATTCAATAGAGAGAATAATGCCATGTTCTGGAATAATTTAATTCTTGTCTTGAGTGTTGTTTTGTACTATCATTTTGTTGAGTCTTTGCTCACAAGAATAAGTAGAGCCGGCCTGTTCGCTAAGTGACCCTTCGTAAACATCAAAATGGAGGATATTTCTCTAAGCAGTCAATTGAAAACCATAGTACGTTTTCAACGTTCACAACTAGAAATTCCACTTCACCTAGAGATGTCCGTGTTCGAGTTCATTAACTTTTTTTGACAAGAGGTTTGATCAGTGGTGGATATATATGATGCTATTACGGCTAATCAAGAAATACTACTGTTCCATCTTCAAGAAGAAGAAAAAGAAAAAGAAGATGGCGAATTTTGAGAAAGTAGTTGGTGTAAAGAAAGTGAGGCAAAAAGATCCAGATGGATGGGATGTAACAATGCCACTCCCAGGGGACATAATAGAAGGCATTGGTGAATTAGCTGCTGATGATGATTCATTTGTTCAGGCCAAGACATGGTCAGAGTTAGCTTTATTTCTTGGTAAAATTGTTGGACATTTCATTTTGTTGAAAGTTAGAAGGGGAGAGAGTAGACTTAAACTCAGGGGATATGTCTTAGTTGAACGACGATCCAATCTGCAGAAAAGGTTTGTGGTTAGAGCAGCATCTGATGAAAGACATCTTGCTGTTATAGCAGAATTAACTTTGGGACGTTGCACTGAACTCCAAGGTACAAATCTTTTTTGTTTTCGCCTAATTTTACATCGTCAATGTATATAAGTCTCTAATAGGAACATTGTACATAAAGTGTTTAAGAACAGATTTTTTTTGGATGGTGCAGAAATGAGCAGAAGAATGGTAAATTCGGGCTCACGGGGGTATAACCAAATGGGATTACAATATGACTGGAAGATGAAGGTGGGAACCTATCTACCCGATTCTCGTTCCACAATTGTTAGCTCCATACTTTTCATGCCTTTAACAAGAGAGTATAGAGTAGAAGCCACAATGGTTCGAACCATGGCCTGGTTTTCAGCAGCAGTATCTTCAGGAATCCCCCTTGTATTTGTTAACATTCAAACCGAGCAAATAAGCAATTTGGTATTACTCTCTACCTTTTCTGATAATAAGGTATGACTTACATATACACTGACAGTATAAAGAATTTTTACATTGTTAACCTGTTGTAGCAGGTAACGTGCCTTATTCGGGTTACAAACCAGTACCTGTCAGCATAAAGTCGATTGATTATACTCTAACTCAAAGTTTCATTATGAACTAATTATTTTTCCTCTTCATGCTTTTTATGTAAAGGAGAGGAGAAACAACACCGGGAAAGATCTAACTTGGGGTAGGCAACTAGATGGCTATGCTGGTAACCAATCCGCGCAAGGAGTAAGGCTCTGGTATCTACCAGGAATTGAAGAGGTTCCACTTGAACTAACACCTGAACCAGGAGAAACCAGATTTGGAATTGACATTAAACGAACAGATGAAGTAACAGTCATCGCCTTTTCATTTCTGAAAATAGCAAAGTAAATAATGTTACTATGAAATGTTTAAGTTAAATTTCTTAACGTGTTAATTTTTGAAATTTCTTTTCAGGGATTTGTCAGTATATACTCAGTAACAAAAGGGACAGCTGCAGAACGAGCCGGTTTAGTGCATTTATTTGAGCAAGCAAACAAAAGCGAGCAACTTCTTGTGATTTCAAGGCTAGAAGGAAAAAGTCTTTTGCCTTCAACTGTCAGCCCAGAAGGTCTAATATACTGCTGTGATCATGGTGATATTAAGGAAACTCTCAATTTGGCAATGGAAAGAAGTGATAGTATTAGACTGCATATCATGTCTTGGCCTAATCAAACAACTCAAAATACCACACGGTCATTTGGTGCTGCAGTTCTTATGCCTCCAAATTGATACCATCAGTAGTTCAACATCACACAACAACACCAACTAAGACTCAATTCCAAGCAAGTTGAGATCCGCTATATGAAGCTTTACTGTACATGTCACTCCATTTAAACTTATCTCAGTTAGCAGTTCAACGCCATGTATAGAAATAATGCCTATCTATAGAAATTTTGTCAACTAACGGAAAGAAGTGAAAGCATTATCATGCATGTATTGGCCTAATCAGACAACTCAAAGATGTAAGGATATATTCTCAAAGTTGTTTCCAGTTTTAACGATGTACTTGTACAAATTGAATTGCAGAAGCAATAGGGAAACATTCTTGTCCGCAAAAATTAGACCCCCATAAAAAATTGCTTAGAATTTGCTGCAAAACAAACAGATGAGAATCCACATTGGAATAGTATGTATAGCAGGTCAGTCTTGAATTGAAAGTTTGTCTATTATGATATTGAAAACAGTATATATGAGTGTTAGTGTCTGAGTCCTTTTAAGAGCACTAGTACACAAGAGTGCTTGCAAAAGCATGAATAGCTGAAGAATATTTCCTTTTTGCAGTCTTTTCTTTTCAGAACTAACATCCATGCATGCTCAGTTTCCCATTTAGCTATACACTGCTAGCTAACTTTCATTCTTTTATCTAGCTAGTCATATACTAAGTGGTATTTAAGATGATGGTCTGGCGGTCGAACAAACAGAGTGCCGTCCAGCCAATAACTTCACTTAATTAATTGTTCTGTCTTATCTTCAATCTTGTAAATTCTTCATATCCGAAGCGCAGGAAGGATCTGACTAGAAATTCGTCTTGCTGATGCGATAGTCCTCTAGGTATGGCCACATCCGTCTTGACAATGGGACAGGGAAAGAAAATCCATAGACGAGACCAACCGGGATAAGTGTGGGAAGTCCATAGTGTACTCGATGGTTGAAGGACCAATCAATTTGCATTAACTTCCTGTAGCTAGTAGGGGAAACTTTAATGTAATTGCGGATCCATTAAAAAAACTTGGAAAATTGATTCAACTCATTTGAGGAAAAATGTTTAACCGACAGAAATAGATCTGTTAAATTTTTGAACAGTTTGAGATACACTCAACAAAAAACTTCCTTTTTTTTTTTCTTTTGGCGCCCCAAGCAACAGAAACATATGACATTATATAAGTCCCCACCACCACCACCACCTCATGTTTACAAGTATAGGTCACCACCACCACCGTCGCCCATTTACACGTATAAGTCACCACCTCCTCCTATTTACACATACAAGTCACCACCACCACAACCATCCCCAGCTTACATGTATAAGTCACCTCCACCACTGCCGCCTATTTACAAGTACAAGTCACCACCACCACCTCCACCTTACTATAATTATGTTTTGCCTTCACCACCACACAAATATCACCATCGCCATCATCATCATCATCACCACCATAAGCCAAAATGGTCACCATATCCGTACATCTATTACAAGTCGCCACCACCGCCACCAAAACATTAACTTGCCTCCGGTTTACCGTTTTGTTCCTCCGCCACCTGTTCTCCCTGGTTTGTATTGCCACGGAAACAAGGAAAAAAAGAGAATCATGATGATGTTCCTTTAGGTAGTACGTAATTTCTATTTGTGGTTTTTGACAATGTTGTAATCTAAATAAAAAGGACTGGTTTGTTATGTAATCTAAATACAGTTGTTGTAGCAAGGCTTTGGAGTTGATTGGGTACTTGAATAGTATGATTATCCACATAAATTAAACTAAGATAATTGTAATCCTTATGCATAACTTTGGTATTTAGGGATTGTAAGAACAAAGTTACTCATGCAAAACCTGGCAGTTAACGCTAACATGGGACAATCCTTATGCATAAAATGTGCACTAATAAGTGAATTTGGACATAGAATCTTTGTTTGGTTCAAATGCTTTTGTGATCGAATTCAAGTGATCCTATTAGTGCACATTTTTGAATCTATTCTCTGAACCACATAGTTACCAGTTGGGCTTATGTTTGTTCTCTATATGGACCAAACAAAGTAAAAATAGCACGGTATAGCCAGTTTTCGGACTGGTCATTCAAAAATAGCTAGCGTTTACCAATTCAATGAAAAATAGCCAATATTTTGCTGCAACAGAGACCGGTCCAGCATAATATACTGGAGTTCGGTGCACCTGTGTATGAACTTCCAGCGTATTATGCTGGAACTCCAATACACGGAAAGTTCCAGCATAATATACCGGAGATTCGAGCACTTGTGTATGAACTTCCAGCATATTATACTGGACCGGTATACTTTGCTGGAACTCCAGTATATTATGCTGGAGTTCTAGTGTACTTATGCTGGAGCTCCATCATATTATGCTGGAGTTCAAGTATACTTATGCTGGAACTTCAGCATAATATACTGACGTATTATCCGGGTTTTGAACAGTATTTTCGCTCAGATTTATTTTTACATGAAAAGTGGCTAAATTTCGATTACTTTTGATACTGGGCTATTTTTGAACGACCACTTGTAAATCTGGCTATTTTTGAATTTCTCCCCCAAACAAATTAATGAAATAAGGTCTTATTGGGCTTCAACTTTATTTCTATGTAGACCTCCAACAAACACAAGAATAAGAAATAGTTGTCCTGAAATTGATGCTCATAGCCATCAAAGGGCATATATTTAAAAGGCCAGTCCGGTGCATTAAGCTTCCGCTATGCGTGGGGTCCGGAGAAGGTTCGGACCACAAGAGTCTATTGTATGCAGCCTTATTCTGCATTTCTACAAGAGACTGTTTCCACAGCTCGAACCCGTGACCTCCTGATCACATGGTAGCAACTTTACTAGTCAGACCAAGGCTGCGTATATTTGATGAGATATATTGGGTGTTCAATGGTCATGTGGAAACTGTCGCCAGAGTAAACTACAATCTGAATTATGACTTGACATTTGCCTTGTTCATGACTTAGCAATATCACTTTCTCTTGGATTAATGAAGGAAAGCCAGTAGCTAGCCTCACCATGTTCCTCAACTTTCTTTTTAGGCCTTGCTTTTGTTGCCAAGACTGATATATATTTTGAGTTTTGATCATTCAATGAATGCAACAGCTCAATATGCAAATTATCGCTCTTTTACATGTTGTGTTTTGAAGGTCCGTAGTAGAATTAGGTTTGAATTGACAAAAGTTGGAATTTAGGAAAGTTTGACCGGGAGTGGAATTTTTGATATTGCGGTCGTATTGAATTTTCGGAAGCTGGAGTAGGTACCCTTTTCGAACAAATTTTACTCATAGTCCAATAATTTTCTTGTTGTTGTTGTTGTTGTTGTTATTTTCGTAGACGCCGCGCACAATATTAAGGGCACCAAGCTGCCTTTTTTGTTATTTTCCTATACTCTCACCGGCAATTCTTGTTGTTTCTACACTTGTTATACATTTTCCGGATTATGTGTACATATCCCCCAAAATCTTACTATATTCTCAGTAACTTTTTCTTGATTTTGTGTACCTATCTTTTCTAATCATCATTAGATTGTGTAAGTGGTTTTCTATAATCTTAACTTCCCAAAAAGTTACTTACATGGAATCAATATTTTTTTATATAGAAAGAATCATACCAGAATTACTTTAGAAAAATTCTACTAAAAGAATGGGATAAAAAGAAGAAAGTGGCATTTAGACTTTTACCAGCTTTCGACCAGGGACTTTTGGGGGGAAAAAATTTACGCACACTAGGTGTTATCAACGTAATAAATGTATGATACTTGGTTTTACATACGCCTATTATCACATAAGTAGTTATTAATACTCTTGCTCCATAATTTTTTAAAATTTAACCATAGTAAATTAATATAATTTGGTATAAATACTGAAAAGTGTTTTTACATTCTGAGTGAGTCCTTTGAATGAATATGTCCGTACACACTGTGTTCAGAACTCATCAGATGTCATTAACAATAGAAGATTAACGTTAATTTGGTATTAATGTACAGTGACACACATTTTTTTAATAGGCACGTCATCAGCTCTATTATTTAAGGCATCTTTTGACTTTAAAATATTTGTTAATAACTATACATTTGAGGACATTTGGCCTTCCGCTGATTAAATTTCCATATCCTAGCATCAAGACAATAATTAATTTAGTAGACTCTAATCTGGCAGCCATAGGGAACAAATAAAGGACAATTAAATTAAAGCCATTCTTCAATAGTTTGATGTACTAAATTACAAGTTTGTTATGAGTGGATAAGATCAAATTTGGACTGTTATACTCACCTTTTTTATATTGGCGTGATTACTTTTTAAGAATTAATAAGTACATTAATATGTGTCTGGTTGTTAATTTTCAATTTTCTTTTATTTTGGTGCAGATTTATTCTGCTCATTTGCAGCTCTCAGCTTTAAGACATGTGGTTAAAAGGGAAAAAGGAGAACAAGAAAATAAAACTAAAGACAGTGTTTTCGAATTGTTTATTAAATTATTATTGTGCTTTTGATTTATAAGGAAAAAAAAAATGGCTCCACTGGTCCAAAGTGTAAAGTGTGTTTAAAGGGAAATGGATAACTCTTATTCTCTAAGGAAACCCTTTTTTGCATTTAGAGCCATATTATTAAGACGTGTGTATCATCTTTATTAATCGGAAATAAAGATGTTTTACCTTTAAAAGCTTTTTAGCATTCTTGTTTAGTTTTAATATCACCTACAATTAAAATGAACAATATTAAACTACAACTACAACAATAACATATCCAGGGTAATTCCACAAAGTAGGATATGAGGAGGATAGCATATGCGCAGACCTTACCCTGGTCTTTGTGACGATAGAGAAGTTATTTTCGATAAATCCCCAACTTAAAAAAAATTTAAAAGAGGCAGACACAACAAATGGTAATACCAACTAGATAATGGGAAACAAACAATATTATATTAAAACCAAAAACGTGGTGGATATTCTAGGTTTCTGTTCATATAGTAAACAAAAGAAAAGGAAAACACATTTTCATAAATGTCCCCTTGAGGACACTAATAGATTCTAGTTAATAATAGCAATTTAAATTGTCAAATTATTTCTCATAGATGTTTTTATTTTTATTTTTCCTTCTCATGGTCTTTTTGAGATTTTTTGCTGGCTGCAACTCAATTGTATGATGTCATATGGAAATGTCATTATTCTATATAAAAATATGGTTTATTTTATATTTTGCTTTGCGAGCTGACATAGTCTTGTGCCAATGCAACTTCATTGATATTTAAGTTTTCGTAAATTTATTAGTTTATCTGGTAACACTACCTACAAGAAGTAAACAATTATATTGTGAAAAAGATGCTTGAGTTTGCAAGAATTGTTATAATTTTAGTGGGTCACTAAAGTATAATATTGTGGCATGGGAGACCTTGTAAAATAAAAATTGGCAACTACTAATAAAGTCTTCTTTCATTTTCAATGTGGGTTCAATTTGGTAGGTATTTTTCTGTCAAAAATCTAGCTTCCTTTACACTGAAATTTTATCTAATTAAAGGAATTAATTTTTTCTCTTGAACTGTTTGAAAAGTATTAAATTAAGGACAAAGTAAAGTAGCATATACATTTCTTTTTCTTGAAACAGTAGGTCCTGTTTATAACATTCTAAGATCTCAATAAGAGAAGGAAATTAGACCTATATAACTACACTAAACTTGCTTTGCGACAAAAAACTCAAGTGAAAAACTATTAAAATTATGGGCCTCACCCTTCTACTACTCGGCCTTAAATAATTATAGTTAGGAGGATATATTGAAGAGAAATTTTCAGAAATGACTATTGTTTAGTGGTTATTGACTTGTTATACCATTTACTTACTTACTTCCTATAGCTATGTTTTCACTTGTTATAGAGTGTATTCGATACAGTAGCAAAATTCGGCGCAAAACATGGAAGTCCAGCTAAACATAGATAGTATTTATATGTATTCGCGAGCTGTATTCGTAAATACGGTAACGAAAATCTGCAAAAAAAAAAAAAAAAAAAAAAAAAAAAAAAAAAACTACTTAGACTATATTTAAAAAACGGTAAGNGTCCGCATAGTTAAAATGCGTCCGCATATGTGCAGCAAACTGTGCAAAGTGATTTTTCTTCCCTTTTTCATGCAATCTTACCCCGTGTTATGATCTTTTGAATCCCCTGCACTCTAACACACACTTTAAATTGCTCAATTAAATCTATCTAACAAAAATTAAAAACTCCATACCACACATGGGTTGCCTCCCATGAAGCGCTTGATTTAACATCGCGGCACGACGAAGTTGACGTTCCCTTGGATTCACTCATTGTTCTGGCATGGACCATCTTTTAGAGCCAGCTGCTCCACCAAATGTTTCTCTCCATCTATGCCCAAGTAATGCTTGACTCGCTGGCCATTCACTTTGAAGGTTCGGAGCCCATCCTCCGATTCTAGTTCCACAGCTCCAAAAGGAGAAACATTTACCACTTTGAACGAACCGAACCATTTTGATTTTAGCTTGCCCGGAAACAATTTGAGCCTTGAGTTAAAGAGCAAAACCAAGTCACCCGACTTGACCTCCCTTTTCAAGATCTTTTTGTCATGGATGAACTTCATCCTTTCTTTATACACAGCTGCACTTTCATATGTATGGAAACGGAATTCCTCCATTTCATTGAGTTGTGTTAACCTCAAATTTACAGCTTCAGTCCAATCCAAGTTCAACCTCTTCAGGGCCCACATGGCTTTGTGTTTCAATTCTACGGTTAGATGACAAGCTTTGCCGAAGAATAACCGATAAGGAGAAGTACCAATAGGAGTCTTGTACGTCGTGCGGTATGCCCACAGTGCATCATCTAGCTTCCTTGACCAGTCGGTCCTGTTTGCATTAACAGTCTTTGTTTAGAATGCTCTTGATCTCCCGGTTGGAAACCTCAACTTGACCACTAGATTGGGGATGATAAGGTGTGGCCACCTTGTGCTTGACGCATACTTATCTAGAAGCCCCGTGAAAGCCTTGTTACAGAAATGAGACCCACCGTCACTAACAATGGCCCTAGGAGTGCCAAACCGAGTGAATATGTTTTTCTTCAAGAATGCGGTCACACTTCTTGCCTCGTTGTTTGGTAAGGCAATTGCTTCAACCCATTTGAACACATAGTCCAGATCTACCAAGATATATTTCATCCCACAATAGCTCACAAAGGGACCCATAAAATCAATTCCCCATACGTCGAAAATTTCTATCTCCATCATAAAGTGTATTGGCATTTCATGCCTCTTGGAGATTGATCCTTGCCTTTGGCATTGGTCACAAGCTTTGACCATTTGATTGGCATCATGATAGATTGACGGCCAATAGTAACCACATTCAAGCACTTTAGCCGCCGTTCGATTTCTTCCATGATGACCCCCAACTGGTGAGTCATGGCATGCTTTTAGAATTGGCATATTTTCTTCTTCTGGAACGCATCTTCTGATGGTGTTGTCAGCACAAACATGGAACAAGTATGGTTCTTCCCAATAGTATTGCCGGCAGTCTCTCAAGAACTTCTTCTTTTGATAGGATTCCAATCCTTTCGGAATAAGGTCACTAACCAAGTAGTTAGCAATATCGGCGTACCAAGGAGCAAAAGTGCTAGATAGTGCCAATATGTGTTCATCCGGGAATGCATCGTTGATTTCAAGATCTCCCTTTGGTCTTCCTGCCTCTTTAAGCCTTGATAAATGATCCGCCACTTGATTTTGAGTTCCCTTGCGATCCTTGACCTCGAAGTCAAATTCTTGCAACAACAAGACCCATCGAATCAACCGAGGCTTTGCATCCTTCTTTGCCATGAGATAGCGAAGAGCGGCATGATCTGTGTACACTATCACCTTGGACCCCAACAAATAAGCTGGAACTTCTCAAAGGCATAGACAATGGCAAGAAGTTCTTGCTCGGTTACTGTGTAATTCATTTGCGCTCCATTGAGTGTCTTGCTTGCATAATAGACCGGGTGAGAACCTTGTTTTGACGTTGGCCAAGCATTGTTCCAATGGCTACACCACTGGCGTCACACATGAGCTCGAAAGAAAGAGACCAATCGGGTGTGACGATAATAGGTGCCGTGGTGAGCCTTTGCTTCAATTCCTCAAAGGCTTTGAGGCATTTCTTGTCAAACACAAATTTGGCATATTTCTCAAGGAGTTTGCACATAGGATTTGGAATCTTGGAAAAATCCTTGATGAAGCGCCTATAGAATCCGGCATGCCCTAAGAAATTTCGAACACCTTTAACGGAAGTATGTGGAGGAAGCTTAGAAATAATCTCGATCTTTGCCCGGTCAACCTCTATGCCATGTTTTGAAATTTTATGCCCCAATACAATGCCTTCATCCACCATGAAGTGGCATTTCTCCCAATTGAGCACAAGGTTGGTTTCTTCACATCTCTTAAGCACTTGTCTAAGATTGTTAAGACTGCTCAAAAGAGTCACCTACCACCGAGAAGTCGTCCATGAAGACTTCTAGAAAATCCTGTACCATGTCGGAGAAAATGGACATCATGCATCTTTGAAAAGTAGCCGGAGCGTTGCATAAACCAAATGGCATCCGGCTAAAGGCAAAAGTTCCATAGGGGCAAGTGAATGTCGTCTTCTCTTGATCCTCCAATGCTATGTTTATTTGGTTGTAGCCGGAATATCCATCAAGGAAACAATATAATGACCTTCTCGCTAGCCGATCAAGCATCTGATCAATAAAAGGCATAGGGAAATGGTCTTTGCATGTGGCACTATTGAGCTTCCTATAATCCATACACACCCTCCAACCGGTCATCGTTCTTGTAGGGATGAGCTCATTTTTCTCATATTCAATTACGGTCGTGCCTCCCTTTTTCGGCACACATTGCTCCGGGCTCACCCAAGAACTATCGGCAATAGGGTAGAATACCCCGGCATCCAACCATTTGATGATTTCTTTCTTTACCACCTCTTGCATTGACGGGTTCAACCATCGTTGATGTTCCACACTTGGTTTCTTTTCACTCTCCAATTGGATTTTGTTTTTGCAAATTCCCGTGGGAATTCCTCGGATGTCCGCGATTGTCCATCCAATGGCTTGCTTATGCTCCTTCAAGACTTCCAACAATTTTTCTACCTGCACATCATTCAACAAAGAAGAAACGATTACGGGTAAAGTATCATTTGAGCCAAGAAATTTATATCTCAAGTGTGGTGAAGTGTTTTGAGCTCTAGTTGCGGTGGTTCGATAATCGAAGGCTTTGCGGGAGGAGCGGCTCTATTCTCCAAGTCGAGAGAGAGCTTTGCCGGAGCATAAGTGTATGACCCAAGCCCCTCCAATGCATTTACTGATTCCATATACCCTTCCATATCTTCACCATCAAAGTTCACCAAAATAGCCGCCAATGCCTCGCCGAGGCATTGTTCTTCCATTTTCATTTCAACCGCATCCTCTACTTCATCAACAACATCGATCACCGAGATGCTTTCATACTCATGTGGTAGTTTCATACCCTTGCTTGCTTGGAATGTAACCTCTTCATCATTCACACGGAATTTGATCTCATTCCGTTCCGAATCCATTAGTGCTCTTCCCGTGGCAAGGAATGGTCTCCCCAAAATGATAGGGATCTCTTTGTCAACCGCACAATCAAGGATTACGAAATCGGCGGGTAAATGAAACTTTCCCACTTTAACAAGCACATCATCAATAATTCCCACCGGTCTTTTTATGGAACGATCGGCCATTTACAACCTCATACTTGTGGGCTTCGGCATACCTAACCCCGCTTGCTTATAGATGGCAAGAGGCATTAAGTTGATGCTAGCCCCATTATCACAAAGGGCTCTTGCAAAATCACATGCCCCAATAGTACATGGAATGGTGAAGGCTCCCGGATCTTCTTTCTTTTGGACGGTGGATGTTGCAATGATGGAACTAACCCGGTGAGTCATGTTTACCACTTCATTCTTGGTGGTTCTCTTCTTTGTGATCAAATCTTTCAAATATTTAGCAAACCCCGGCATCTCTTGAAATGCTTCCACAAATGGAATATTCACCGATAATTGCTTGAGAATGTCGTAGAACTTTTCGAGTTTGCTATCATCAACCTTCCTCACAAGTCTTTGAGGGAATGGGGGAGGAGGTCTAGGAATAGGTGGAAGAGTTTTTGGTATCTCTTTCACCTTTTCCTTTACCTCTTCCCGGTTTTCTTTTTGCACTTGCAAATCTTCCGGAATCTTTTCAACTTTGACAACACTTGGCTCTTCAACCTCAACCCCTGGTTCGGACTTGTCTACTTCAATCACTTGTTCACCCTCTCCTTGTAGTACCTTCCCACTCCGAGTAGTAATTGCCATGATGTGAGAAGTTGGACCACTCCCACTACCCTTTGGGTTTGCAATTGTGTCACTTGGAAGTGTCCCTTTTTGCTTCGGATTTTGTTCCCTTGAGAGATCTCTCATTTGCATTTCCAATTTTTGAATGGATGCAGTGTGAGAGCCAACGAGCTCGGTCATATTCCTCATAGAAGTGTCGGACTTCTCTTGATTTTGTAATACCCGTTAAAGCATGCTTTCCAACTTGGAATCACTTGATGAACCTTGATTTGAATATTGACCCTTTGGGGGAACATAAGGATTTGAACTCCGATTTGCGAAGTTGTTGTTGTTATTCCAATTTCCTTGATTTGAGCCACCTTGGTCATTTCGCCATTGTTGGTTGCCTTGCCCTTGCAGGTTAGGCCTCCATTGATTTTGTTGTCCTTGACCTTGGTATTGTTGCCTTTGATACCCTCCTTTAGAGTTATTGATGTAGTTTGCTTCCTCAAAATATTCATTTGATGTGGGTTTCACATCCTCCACCACATTCACCTTCTTAATTTGGCTTTCCGTGAACATTTTTGTCAACACATTGACATTTGTGGCAAGCCCTGCGATTACTTGATCTCTCTCTTGATTCTCCTTAATCAGGTTGGTCAAGGAAGGCGAACCATATGCAATTCCACCTATGGTATCCTCAGAGTGCCAAGCTTGATTATGTTTTGCCATTTTGTCAAGTATTTGTGTGACCCTTGCGAATGATTTGTCCATAAAAGATCCATCAGCTGCATTCTTCGCTATAGATTGGTTCATAGGATGCAAACCCATGTAAAAGTTCTCCAACAAAATAGAGTCCGAAAAACTATGATTGGGAGACCTCACCAAATATAATTTGAATCGATCCCATGCCTCATGTAGATGTTCCCCCGGCTGTTGCTTGAAGAAGAAAATTTTATCCCAAAGTTCAGATTTCTTGCTCTGTGGGAACCATTTAGCTAAAAATGCTCGGACAAGTTCAGGCCAAGAACGTATGGAATTTGGTGGCAAGTTTTGGAGCCACCTCCTTGTATCTCCAGCTAGTGAGTACTTGAATACCCTCAACCTTAGGGCATCATCTGAGACATTGTTCTGCTTATGCATAGCACATACTCCCAAGAAGTTCCTAAGGTGTTGTGTTGGATCATCATCAGTGGAATTCCTGAAAAACCCCTCCGCTTTAAGCATTAGGATCAGACCATGTTCCACTTTGAAAGTTGAAGCACCAACAACCGGAGGTACAATAGCATTTGTATCCTCTATGTACGCATCTATGTTCGCAAAAGGATTTTCATCCACTTCTTCCTCGTAGTCTGACATGTCTTGCTATCAACTCCAAGCAAAACAAGCGAAGTGTGATGGAATAGAATAAGACGTAAAGTAAAGCGCACACTAATTAGTAATTTCAAAACCGTATTCCCCGGCAACGACGCCAAAATTTGATACGCTCAAATTACACTTTAATAAATAGTGTAAGGCGGTCGGTGTCAAATATAATAACCCAACAAGGTTGGGGTCGAATCCCAAAGGGAATAGGTGTGAAAAGCTACTCGATTAGTGTGTCACTCGACTTAAGTCGTAATTCTATCCGGTTAATTGTAACAAGAGTATGGTATGATTGTGATTTGAAGAAATAACTAATTGTAATGTTGAGAATGTAATTAATTTGATTAAAGAAACCAAGGTTGTGTCCCCTTCAATGAAGTGTAATGCTATCGGTGTTAATATGATATATTTCTAATGGAAGGTCCTTTTGATATGCAAATGATTTCTAAATGACTACCCAATATTTTCCAGTAGTTGGGTAGTATTTCCTCTTTATGATTTTTCCAAATATAAAAGAGTTGCAATTAAGAATCAATCAATATATGCCAAATAAAACGTACTTATTCCTAAGCGATTCTATTAAACAAGGGTTAACGCCTTGAGTCTTTGATATTTACTTCTACCAGATTCTAACCCACTTTCCCAAGCAAAGTAAGAATTTAATGGCACTTGTTAATGTTTGCAACCACCAACAATAAATGAAGAATGAGAAGTAAACAAACATCAACCAACCATTATATATATAATCAATGGTAAACAACCATTAACATTACACCCATTTAGGGTCCATAACCTTAGTATTTAAAGTTAGCTACACATACTAAAGTACAAAAGGAAGAGAATATTTAATGCCATAAAGCTTACAAAGTGAAAGATTCTTGAACCAAAAGCTTCCAAAAGAGGAGAATATTAAATTCTTGTATTGTAGCTCCCAAAATCAGACAAGGTGCCCCCACAAAACCCCAAAAAATATATTTATAGTGGGTCAAAATTCGGGGCAAAATCTGGACAAAAAATACCGCATTTCCGTCGCATAACAGACATGCGGTCCACATTCTTAACACAGCCATCGCATAGTTCAACCCTAGTTTCCAGACCTCCGTCGCATTCATGGTTTGCGGTCCGCATTGTAGAAATGCGATCGCATTTTGCGTCACGTTTTGTAACTTCAGCAACCTTCAAGTTAAGTTTGCGGTTCGTTCTGCGACTCACATACAGGTTATGCGATTGCAGATTGGACCGCATTTCTTGCGTTGGATTTTGCCCAGAACACTGTTTTGGTTTGCGATTCAATTGCACAATCTGCGGCTCGCATGTCGGATGTGCAATCGCATTTCAAAATTGCGATGCCTTTTTGCTCTTTTCTTGTCTTTTTGTGGCTTTTTGAATTCATTTCCCTGCTCTCAAGTCCTTAAACCTCATATACTGCAAAAACACCAAAACTACATAAGTACAAAGGATAATTGCATCTAAAACAAGCTAAAATCTAAGCAATTTGTATCAAATGTGTCGAAATTCTCCGGCACATCACAGCTTCAGGGAGCGAGGGTGTTCTCAGAGATAGATTTGAGGTTAGGGTATCACCAGTTGAAGATTAGAGACTAGGACATTCTTAAGACAGCTTTCAGGATCCAATATTGTCATTATGAGTTCCTGGTGATTTCTTTCGGCTGACCAATGCCCCAGCAGCGTTCATGCATCTGATGAACAGTGTGTTCCAGCCTTATCTCAACTCGTTTGTTATTCTATTCATTGATGATATCTTGGTGTACTCTCGTAACCAGGAGAATCATGCCCAGCATTTACAGACTGTGTTGCAGCGGTTAAGGGAGGAGAAGCTTTATGCTATATTCTCCAAGTGTGAGTTTTGGCTCAGTTCAATGGCGTTCTTGGGGCACGTGGTGTCCAGTGAGGGTATTTAGGTTGATCCGAAGAAGATAGAGGCAGTCCAGAGTTGGCCCTGATCGTCCTCAGCCAAATAGTTTCGTAGATTTCTTGGGTTGGCAGGTTACTACCGCCGGTTCGTTCAGGGTTTCTTATCTATTGCATCATCTTTGACCAAATTAAACCAAAAAGGTGCTCCTTTCAGGTGGTCTGATGAGTGTGAGGCGGGCTTCCAAAAGCTCCAGACTGCCTTGACCACAGCCCTAGTTCTAGTTCTGCCATCAGCTTCTGGTTCATATTCAGTATATTGTGATGCTTCTCGGATCGGTGTCGGGTGTGTTTTGATGCAGGAGGGTAGAGTGTTTTCTTATGCTTCGCGTCAGTTGAAGCCCCATGAGAAGAACTACCCTGTTCATGATTTGGAGTTGGCTGTCATTGTTCACGCGTTGAAGATTTAGAGGCACTACCTCTATGGTGTGTCTTGTGAGTTATTTACTGATCATCGTAGCCTCCAGCACTTGTTCAAATAAAAGGATCTTAATTTGAGGCAGTGGAGATGGTTGGAGCTGCTAAAGGACTATGATATCACCATTTTGTACCATCCGGGAAAGGCTAATATGGTGGCCGATGCCTTGAGTAGGAAAGCAGTGAGTATGGGTAGTCTTGTATTCCTGCCTGTTGGGGAGATACCTCTTGCAGTTGATGTTCAGGCTTTGGCTAATCGGTTAGTGCGATTGGATATTTCAGAGCCCAATCGGATCCTAGCTTGTGTGGTTTCTCGGTCTTCCTTGTTTGATCGCATTAGAGAGCGCCAGTATAATGATCCTCATTTGCTTGTCCTCAAGGACAGGGTTCAGCATGGTGATGCCAGAGATGTGACCATTGGTGATGAAGGGGTATTGAGGATGCAGGGCCGGATATGTGTGCCTGGTCACGCCCAACTCTAGTCCTAAAAAGGATAAGCGGTCGCTGCAAATATAATCCGGTCTAAAAGTCCGGAGTCGAATCCCACAGAGAACTAAGGCTTAGCTGTATCTGTTTAATATCACTAAGAAGACAAGATTGAAAATAAATAAACAGCTGAAAACTAACTATGCTTGAATTGTAAACAATTAGAATAAATGTCTAAGGTAATGGTTTCCCCCGTTGTTGATTTCCTTGGTTGTATGTTTCTTATAGCGTTGACTTAGTTGCCTCTATCAATCATGAACTCTCCAGCTATCATAAATCTCTCTCAAGCAATTATGATAATTTACTAGACGCACTCTCTCAAGCTACGCTAGCTAGATTCGCATTACAGTTCACTTAGATCGCACCCGAGGTATCGTTATCTCTAATCCAACCTCTAAACCCTCGGTTATGACTCTCGCCTATACTCCGGGAGTGATGTTGTTCAAACAACTACCTAAATATGCACTCTCTCTCAAGCAGATACATAATAAATAGGAACGGCTAATTGAGGATCCTTCCAATTAACCACAATCAAAACGTACTTGAACAAATAGAGATAAACAACCAATTCAATACTATATTAATATAACAACCAAATCATCCCCAACGGGTTTTACCAAAACCCTAGATTAAGGTTTTTAGCTACTCATGACAATGGGTAAATCAAATACTAAAAAATTCATAATCATGAATTGCAAGAGAATAAAGAAGAAAAGAAATAAAGATGTTTTAGGTGATCTCTCACAATTGTTTTTCTTGCCAAAGTACTCTCTAATAATGTTACATGCCTCCTTTGGGCGAGTTCTATTATTTAAATAGGGTTTCCGGCTAAGAATTCCGGAATTTGCACTTCAGTCCCTTAAGTTCCCGTCGCCTGCCGCGGTCCTACCGCGCCCTCGCTGGGACCGCGGCCAAACGGCCTCTCTGAATCTCCTCTGACAGCTCATCGCGGTCCTACCGCGCCCACGCTGGGACCGTGGCAGTTCACCTCCAGGCCTCGTTTGTGTATTTCAAATGGTTCACTCGGCGACTTTGATGCGATTGGCTTCTTTTTCTTCCATAAATGATACAAAACCACTCCCTAGCCTTCTTCTAATGTATGTAACCTGAAAAACATGAAAAACACTAATAAGAGCATTTTGCTATCACTTTTACAATAAGAACTCTACAAGAAAGTGGTTCTTTTGGGGCTTAATCATAGTTCAATTCACCTATTATCAGTGCCCAATGTAGATGGGCTTCGTGAATGGATTCTAGAGGAGGCCCACAGCTCGCAGTATTCCATCCATCCGGGTGCCGCAAAGATGTATCAGGATTTGAGACAGCACTATTGGTGGAGGAGGATGAAGAAAGACATAGTTGGATTTGTAGCTCGATTTCTCAACTGTCAGGGGTGAAATATGAGCATCAGAGACCCGGCGAATTGCTTCAGCAGATAGAGATTCCAGAGTGGAAGTGGGAGCGGATCACCATGGATTTCCTAGTTGGGCTCCCGCGGACTTCTAGGAAGTTCGATGCCATTTGGTGATTGTGGATCGGCTGGCCAAGTCTGTGCACTTCATTCCTGTGTGTACTACCTATTCTTCAGAGCGGCTGACTGACATTTACATCAGAGAGATTGTTCGCCTTCATGTAGTGCCAATTTCTATTATTTCAGACAGAGGCACGAAGTTTACATCGTAGTTTTGGAGGGCCGTGGAGTAAGAGTTGGGCACTCGGGTTGAGTTGACCGCAGCATTTCACCCTCAGACGGACGGGTAGTCCGAGCGCACTATTCAGATTTTGGAGGACATGTTGCGTACTTGTCTCATTAATTTTGGTGGTTCATAGGAGCAGTTTCTGCCACTCGCGGAGTTTGCTTACAACAACAATTATCAGTCGAGTATTCAGATGGCTCCGTATGAGGCTTTACATGGGAGGCGGTGTAGATCTCCAGTGGGTTGGTTTGACCCGGGTGAGGCAAGACTTTTGGGCACAAACTTAGTTCAGGATGCATTGAATAAGGTGAAATTAATTTAGGAGCGGCTTCGCACGGCGCAGTCAAGACAAAAGAGTTATGTAGACAGAAAGGTTCATGATGTGTCTTATATGGTTGGGGAGAAGGTTCTACTGAAGGTTTTACGCATGAAGGGTGTTATGAGATTTGGGAAGAAGGGCAAGTTAAGCCCTCGGTTTATTGGACCGTTTGAGGTGCCTCAGAGGATTGGGGAGGTGGCCTATGAGCTTGCTTTGCCACCTAGCTTGTCGGGTGTTCATCCAGTATTTTATGTTTCTATGCTTCGGAAGTATATCGGCGATCCATCTCATTTTCTGGATTTTAGCACGGTTCAGCTGGATGGTGATTTGACTTATGATGTGGAGTCAGTGGCTATTTTGGAGGGGTAGGTCCGAAAGTTGAGATCAAAGGATATAGCTTCAGTGAAAGTGCAATGGAGAGGTCAGCCCGTAGAGGAGGCTACTTGGGAGACCGAGTGGGAGATGCGGAGCAGATATCCACACCTATTTGAGACTTCAGGTAAGTTTCTAGACCCGTTCGAGGACGAATGTTTGTTTAAGAGGGGGAGGATGTAACGACTTGGCCGGTGGTTTCGAGAGTTATGGCCATGTTCCCCTATTTCCTGCTTCTTTTGTGTTCTTCTGCTGTATTTTCACTTACCAGGTTAGTTGGTTCGGGTACGGAGTGGTTTTGGAGCGAATTAAGACACTTAGTCTCTTATGAGAAGGTTTAAGTTGGAAGAGTTGACCGGATGTTGACTTATGTGTAAACAACCTCGGATTTTAATTTTTATGGTTTCGTTAGCTCCGTTAGGTGATTTTGGACTTAGGAGCGCGTTCGGAATGTGATTTGGAGGTCCGCAGTAGAATTAGGCTTGAATTGGCGAAAGTTAGAATTTTGGCGATTTTGGTCGGTAGTGGAAATTTTTATATATCTGGGTCAGAATGGAATTCCGAAAGTTGGAGTAGGTTTGTGGTGTCATTTCTCACGTGTGTGAAAAAATTTGAGGTCATTCGGACGTGATTTGATAGGTTTCGGCATCGTTTGTGGAATTCGGAAGTTTAGAAGTTCTTAGGCTTGAATCCGAGGGTAATTTGGTGTTCTGATGTTGTTTTGGGTGATTCAAAGGTTTGACTAAGTTCGTATGATATTGTTGAATATGTTGGTATGTTTGGTTGAGGTCCCGAGGGCCTCGGGTTGATTTTGGGTGATTAACGGAACAAGTTTAGAAATTGGAGGAGTTGCTGAAGTTGGAACTTAGTTGTCATAACCGCACCTGCAGAGCGGGAGCCGCATGTGCGAGCCTGCAGATGCGGCCATAGGGGACTTAAGCTGGAACTGCAGGTTTGAGAAGGCGGTTGCATCTGCGAGCCCGCACCTGCGAGACTGGGGCGCAGATGCGGAAATGAGGAAGTTGGCCGGTTTCGCAGAAGCGGAAGGAGATGCGTCGATGCGCAATCGCAGGTGCGAGATTTGACCGCAAATGCGGAGCCTAGAATTTTAAGTGAGTTCCGCACCTGCGATGAGAATTCCGCAGGTGCGGCATCGTAGAAGCGGAGATAGGACCGCAGGTGCGGTTTTGCTGGGCAGAAAAACCCCAGCTCGAGGTTTTGTTCTCCATTTTCGATTTTGGATTTGAGGAACTCGGGAGAGAGGCGATTTTTCGAAGGATTTCAAGGAGCAACGTTGGGGTAAGTTATTCTAACCTATAACGGTATAAATTTCATGAATCTATGGCTTTATTCATCATCTAATTGGGAATTTAAGCTAGAAATTTTGGAATTTAGGGCTTGAGAATTTGAGAGTGGATCTTAAGGATTTGAGTGACCAAATAAGGTCGAATTTGTGTGGTTAGACTCGTGAGTGAATGGGCTTTCGGGTTTTGTAACTTTTGTCGGATTTCGGGACGTGGGCAAGGGGCCGAGTTTGAGTGCATTTCGGGATTTGGCCTATAATTTTGTATTTTTCTGGTAGAATTGGTTCCTTTAGCCTATATTGATCATATTGTATTTCTTGTGGCTAGATCCGGGACGTTCGGAGGCCGAGTCGAGAGGCAAGGGCATTGCGGAGTAGGATTTTGCTCGGTTTGAGGTAAGTAACGCTTTCAAACTTGGTTTTGAGGGTTGAGAACCCCGTTGAGGTGGCGCACATGCCAAGTGACGGGCGTGCGGGCGTGCACCCGAGAATCATGACCTGATTCATTCCATGGTATCGTTTAATGACTCTATCTTGTTGATATACGAGTTTCCATTATGTGATAAGGTAATTGAGCAGTAAACATGGTAGATACCATGTTAGGGCTTCATGCTGATACTGTTGGGACCCCTACTGGTCGTTTCTTGCTGTCATTTGACTGATTTCACTGTTATTTTGTACTCAGTCATATTCATGCATTTCATATCATATCTCACTCTCAGTTGTTATTATTGGCATAGCATATCATTGTTTCCAAGCTAGTTTCCATGACGTTGTGAGCCCGTGAGTGAGACTGGAGAGTGATGACTAAGTGAGGCTGAGGGCCTGATTATGTGTGACAGTTATGGGGTCGAGCTGCACGGTGCGGCATTATATTGATTATTATAGAGCCTGGGCCATAGCAGCCCCTCTGGAGTCTACACACCCACAATGGGCACGGATGATATTATTGAAGGATGGATTTCCCTGGACGTGGATTTGTCCAAAGTATTGATATCTGGAGATGGATTTCTCCTCAAGGTTGGATTGCCCTTTTTCCTCGGTATTGAGTGACTTACAGTCAGTGTTGTATATATTCCGGGATGGATTTCCCTGGGCCGGATGGCCATATTCAGTACCGAGTGGTTGAGCACTTGAGAGTGGGAGTACACTGTGCATTTCATACAGTCGGTGCATTGGCATGTAGAGACAGTTGAGTTATATATTTTAAACTGTTCAGATCTGTATTTACCTCATCACGTTGAGCTGTCTATTTAAGTGAAAGCATGCCTACGTTTTTTGTACATTGTTTCTATTGTATCTGTTGGATTGAGTTCGTCACTACCACTCAGTCCATAGTTTGGACTCATTACTTACTGAGTTGGTGTACTCACGTTACCCCTTGCACCTTGTGTGCAAATTTAGGCACTTTGGGACCCAGTGGCGGTTGTTGATCGAGGCTTCAGGCTTAGGAGATTATTGAGGTATCTGCACGACGTTCGCAGGCCTTAGCTCTCCTTCTATTTCTCCAGTTGTACTTCAGTTGCTTCTTTTGACATTGTAATAGACTATGTATTTCCCTAGACGCTCATGCACTTAGTGACATCCTGGTTTTGGGATGGATTGTATCTTATCTTGGAATTTCTTATGTTCAAACAGTTTCTTTTAAATGTTAATAGCTTCTGTTAAATGTTTTCAAATTTATTGTTGTTGTGTTGGTTTGTTGAGTTGAGGCTGGCCTAGTTCCACGATAGGCGCCATCACAACGAGTTTAGTATTGGGCTGTGGCAGCTGTTTATTCAAGGGCATTCCCCTTCACTCTCAAAGATGATGCAAGGAACTGGCTTTGAAGCTTGCCCTAGGGATCAATTAGAACATGGAAGGAGATGACCAGAAAATATCTTGCTAAATATTTCTCCTCAGCTAAGACGGGCAAGTTTAGAAAGGAAATCCATAACTTCTGCCAGAATGAGACCGAAACTGTGTATGAAGCATAAGAGAGGTTTAAGGAGATAGTGCGAAAGTGTCAACATAGCAGAATTGAACTCTGGATGCAACTACAGGACTTTTGGGATGGTTTCACACCGGCCTCACGCAGAACATAGAGTAATGCAGCTGGAGGTCCATCGATGAAGAAGACTCCAGATGAGATAGTCACTATTCTATGTGAGTTATCTGAAGATGCAAATCAGTGGCCCTCGGAGATTGCTGAAAGGAGACGATCAACTGGTTTTAACCAGGTTAATACTAACACGTCTATGTAGGTACACCTTAATGCCATGGCTAAAGAAATAAGGAAGCTGACGTTTGCCTCGATACACAATGAGCCTCATGCAGCCTGCATATATGTGGAAGAGGACACCTTACTCTTGAGTGTCAAGCCACCATGGAGGAAGTGAATGTTTTGGGTAATTATAATTTCAATGCAATGGGTCAGAAGTAGGGTTGTGCACGGATCGGATTGGATCGGATTTAGCATATTTCGGATTAGGATTTCGGATTTCGGATTCTGAAAAGGGCAATCCGAATCCGATCCGAATTAATATTTGATCGGATCGGATTTTAAACTTTGGATCGGATAATTTTTCGGATTGTCGGATCGGATTGTCACAAAATTGTTGGTTAGGACTTAGGACCATTCATCTCCTAAAACACCATTCAATCAGAAAAAACCATTCATCTCCTAAAGCACCATTCAATCATAATCAAAAAAATTGAGTGAATAAACACCATTCATCTCCTAAAACACCATTCAATCATATTGAGATTCACTGTTGTTGGTTGTGGAATCAGTTGAAGCATCTCTTTCACCAAAATTTTCAACAATTTGAAGTCTATTCGGTGTCTCTGTCTCATCTTCCATCTACCAAAACAAAAAAAAATCAAAAGTTGAAAAATAGAACATGAAAGAGACATAAAAGACATAAGAGAAGGGAAGAGAGGCGGAAGAAAGAGACATAAAAATCAAAGTAAAATCAGAAGTTTGAGACTTTGAGTCTTTGAGACTCTTCAGTCTTCACTGAAGAGAAGAGAGGTGGAAAAATCTAAGTGAGTGAGGGGGTGTGTAAAAAATGAATAAGCCTAATCCTAAAATTTTAGTGTAGTATTTATATAGGTACATATAGTTTCGGATTTCGGATCGGATTTAGATCATACCAATCCGAATCCAATCCAAAAATCCGAAATTTTATAAAACACAATCCGTATCTAATCCTAAAATCCGAAATCCGAAATCCCAAAATTCGAAATAGAGTGGATCGGATCGGATTTCGGATATCCGATCCAAATGCACAACCCTAGTCAGAAGCACCCTGGTTTTTCGTGGAGTTCACCTGGGGGTACAGCAAATTCATGGTAACAAAATAACTCTAGATTTCAGGGACAAGGAGCTCCAGGTTTCCAAAATCAGCAAAGGCCGCAGTTTCAGCCTCAATAGCCAATCCTGTCTGGGTTATAAGATCTTATGAAGTCCTTTATTGTCAAGACATATGAGAGGCTAGATGCTCATGGTGCAGCTATCAAAGAACTTGGGACAGGTTTGCGTAACTTGGAGAGACAAGTGGGACAAATTGCAAATATATTATCTGAGAGAATCCTAGGTACTCTGCCAGCTGATGCTGAGAAGAATCCCAAAGAAACGGTAAATGTTGTGACCTTAAGAAGCGGGCAAGTGTTGAAAGAACCCACTCCAGCCTTGAAAGAGGTGATGCCTGAAAAAGGAAGTGGGAAGGAGCTAAAAATTGAAGATGATAAAAAGAAGAAAGGCAAGAAGGGAGAAAAGATATACAATAACGAGGAAACTTTGAGAAGGGAGGACTCTAATGATATGAGCAAGCATATGCCTGATCTACCTTTCTCGCAAAAGCTCTATAGAGAAAAGCTGGACAGGCAGTTTGAGAGATCATTAGACATGCTGAGACGGGTTAATGTAAATCTTCCATTCAGTGAAGTTCTCTCACAAATGCTGGCTTATGCAATGTTCTTGAAGGAGATCCTTACAAAGAAGAGGAAGATAGAAGAGACATCGGTAGTCAAGCTCATAGAGCATTGCAGTGAAATCTTGCAAAACAAACTCCCACAAAAGTGTGGAGATCCAGGGAGTTTTACCCTACCTTGCTCTCTAGGCACTCTTAAATTTGATAACTCTTTATGTGATTCTGGTTCCTCAGTTAATCTAATGACTTTGTGTATTTACAGAAAACTAGAGAATGAGATTGGAGAGATAAGGTCAGTACCAATATCGTTGCAGCTGGCAGATCAAACAAAGATAATACCCGAGGGGATAGTTGAAGATGTCTTAGTGCTGGTGAATTTATAGTTTGTATTTCCGATAGAATTTATAGTGGTGAAGATGGAGGAGAATAAGGAGATACCCCTCATCCTAGGAAAACCATTCTTTGCAACAAGTATAGCAATTTTAGATATACACAACAGGAAGCTCATGCTGAGAGTAGATGAGGAGACCGTAACTTACAAAATGGAGGTAGAAACGGTGGTTAAAAAGGAGAAGCCAGTTGATGACACCCAATTTTTCTCTCATATTTTTAAATATATAACATATACTTTCAAAATAGTATATTTGCATCATCATTTAGTTTATAAGCCCATATAAGCATTTTTCATAATTTTCCTTAATTTTAAAAGGCTTTAAATTGATTTATTTCTGTATTTTATTATATAAATATTCAGTAATTATCCTTCAAATTATTATGATGATTTAATCATCTAGACTTATTTATTTACACTAGCATGTACATTTTAAATATTTTATTTCATTTCTCATAATTACATTCGCATTTTTTAGGCTAATTGCACACTTTTGCAATAATAGCCTATATTCATGTATAATTACACTAGTTATACAAAAAATATATTTTTATATTTTTATAATCTTAATTTATTATTTTTAATTATTTTAGTGCACAAATAAAAGTTTTATCATTTATTAATTACTTCAATAAATTATTTTTTGATAAAATTTTGGGTATTTAAATAATAGCCCTTTCTAACCAATTTTAGACCACATTAGTGGCCGAAAACTACCCAAAACTTAGCCCAGTCCGCCATAGCCCAATCCAAACGATCCCTTAATCCCCAACCCATTTCCAAACTCGACCCAGATCTCCTTAAACCTCAGTCGTTGATCAAAAATGATCAACGGCTCACAAAACCCCATCCCCTTTCCTTATATCTCCTCACCCTAACCCTAATTCCCATTCCCTAAAGACCGCCACCTCTAAACTCTCTCTGTCTCACCTTTGAAGAACCCTAATTCCGGCCCTTTACCAATCCCCTTCCTAATCCCTTTAGCCATGGGATTTACCTGTTATTTACTTACCATATTTGTGTTCCTTCTCTAAAGGTTACTCGTTTGTGGTGTTACCTAGTTGCTTTCCTAACATGGCAAGCAAATCTCATCAAAATCGAACCAAATCGGTTCAAAGCCTTGATTTCTCTAATTTTTCTATCTATGTTCATCATGTATTCTTTGTAAGTACGAATATTTTCTATATCTGTTGATGATTCTTACCTACCCTAAATTAGGGTTTTGTGACCCATTTCAATCGAACCAAAACGGGTTCGATTCTCTGATTTTAAGTGATATTCCGTCTATGTTCATCCTATTCTGTGTGGTGTTTTGATTTTATTTTGCCGATTTTACACTTTCCCTAAAATTAGGCTTTGAGACTTTTTTCTTTTCCTTACTGATTCCGATTGCATGTAATGAATCTTTCCTTTCTCGTGTTTGATTGATGATTTTCCTTATTTGGATGCTAATTTCTACCACTATATAAACCCTTCCCCCCATTCACTTTAGAAAGAGACTTTCAGAACTTGACAGCTTCACTAAATCCAAAGCTTTACTCTGATTTGCATTCTATATTCTAATTTTTTGCCGGCTGGAAGCCAAGGCCATTTAGTTCTGGGATATTGCTACTCAGAATATTGTGGGGTTTTATTATTTTGTGTATTTTCGCTTAACTGGTGAGTCACTTGACTTCTGCAATTTCATTCTTACATGTCTATGATCTGCATGTGTTCTTACTTCTGAATCTATGGTTCAATATGCTTCTGAGTTATGTTAGGTATTGCTCTATCAACTTTACATGTTTAGCCTTTTTAACACTTAATTGCTCCTAATGCTACCAGTTCTGAAGTTATCTATTCCTAACATGGTTAATCTGGACTCTCTTGAGGTTTATTCAGTTAGTATGTCAAACTCTTGAATGCTCATGAACGTGTTTGTGTTAGCTTGTGTTAAGACCTTCATTGTTAGTCGTAATTTACCTCCCTGCTATTGTGTTATTCAACATGATCACGCGAACCTATACCCCCCCCCCTTTTAGTTTTTGCTTGTGACTTTAAACAGTTGTCTCATCATGTTTGAATCAGTACTTTGAGATGTTAGGCTAAATCTTTGATACGAACTAGATCATCTTTAGTTAATTAGGCCATTATAGCAATGCTTGAATTCCTATATCTACTACTTGACATGATTTTACCTTCTATTTTGAATAATAGTTTGTATATGTGTCTTAATTTGTGATTGTAATCTCACCCCTTTGCTAACATGATACCCTAATCTTTCTATGATTATTTGACTCATCACAATGTTGTCCTGTTTCCTTGGTAATAAACTAGGTCGTGTACTTGGCATGATTCAACCATGTTATAACCTTCTTGCACCTGTGTATAACAACCTTAGACAATCCTGCAAATATGTTCTTTCTCAACTTTTCTTTTAGCATGTGACTGCTTCTGTGCTAAGTGTTGAACCAGTTTCTTAGTTTACATTAAGCTTGTTCTTTTTTAGTTTTGTGATATAATTAACTAACTGTGTGGTTTGCTCAATTTGGTTGTGTCTGTTTAAACCCTTCAATTCCTGTTTTCTCAATTTTGGTCCTTTCTTCTTCGAATCCCATTCTTAGCCAGCTGAAAACCAAGGCTACTTAGGTTCTTTCCTTTGACCTCCCTAGTGTCAGCACTGCTCAGGGTTCATTTGAGACCCTTGCGAACTCTGACACACTAGGGCTTGGTCCCTAGTTTCTCCTCTAAATTATCTCTGTTAACCTCCCTAGTGTGAGCACTGCCCTGGGTTCTTGAGGCCCTTGGGAACTCTGACACACTAGGGTCTTGGTTCTATATGTTCAACTCTATTTTAAGACCATTGGGGGAATCTTTCAAGTCTTGGCTGCCTTATGTCCATGAACATGTAACTTTGGGGCTGTTGTGAACTGTGAGAATGAAGGCCTGGCCTGGCCAGGTGTACCTTTGGGCCTGCTGTAGGCTCCTTATAACTATTCGACTTTGTAATTTATTCTAGTCATTCTAGGTCTGTAATAATTCTTGTAATAACATTTTGGGGTATTAGTGAAATTGGGGAAAGGGCTTTTATCTTATACTTGCAGTGAAATGGGTAGAAATCCTGCCAATAGGTTCATTACTTTGTTAAAATGTGCTATTATATTCAACATGTTCAACTATCATGTGTTAGAAATCATGCCTATAGGTATTTTATCTTTCATCAAAACGTGTTACTTTCCAGTTATTGTAGAAATATTTCCTATAGGTATATTGTTATGCTCAGAATGATCGATCATTATATGTTAGCCATCCTGCCTATAGGTTCTTCATTTGATTCAAATATGTTCTATGCTTGCTTGTTAGAAATCATGCATATAGGATCTAAAATCAGTTACCAGTTTTAGTTATAGAACTCTTGCCTATAGGGTCTGAATCAGTTTAATTAATTGTCCTGCTTGTTTCTTTAATAGTCTTCATATTGTCATCACTAGAAACCATGCCTATAGGACTCAATTAGCCAATTCTGAACATAATCCTGTGATTACCACTATTAGTTACTTCATAAAAATGCCTAGATATTATACCTATAGGCAAGATTTCTACAATAACTGGAAAGTAATACGTTTTGATTATAGAAATCATGCCTATAGGATCTAAAACCAGTTTCAGTTATAGAACTCATGCCTATAGGGTCTGAATCAGCTTAATTAATTGTCCTACTCGTTTCTTTAATTGTCTTCAAATTGTCATCACTAGAAACCATGCCTATAGGACTCAATTAGCCAATTCTGAACCTAATCCTGTGATTACCACTATTAGTTACTACATAAAAATGCCTAGATATTATTCCTATAGGCAAGATTTCTACAATAACTTGAAAGTAACACGTTTTGATTATAGAAATCAAGCCTATAGGATCTAAAACCAGTTTTAGTTATAGAACTCATGCCTACAGGGTCTGAATCAGTTTAAATAATTGTCCTACTGATTTCAATAATAGTCTTCAAATTGTCATCACTAGAAACCATGTCTATAGGACTCAATTTGCCATTTCTGAACATAATCCTGTTATTACCACTATTAGTTACTGCATAAAAATGCCTAGATATTATGCCTATTTATTTTCATGACTTATGTCTTCCGAATACTTTAGTACTCTCCTTGCCATATTGGCAATTGTTCTGTGAATAATTCCAAAAGCTAGGGCATTCTCCCCTTTAAGTCTCTTTTCACACCACGACTCGTGGTTGGAATTTTTCCAATCTTGTAACTATTACTACCTTTATCATGTAGCATGTACGACTCTGACTTTGTAAATGCGCCTATGCGACTCTTCTCTCCTTTTTCCTCTAGCTTTTAGCCCATCTCTAGGCCTCACTTTGTGAACGTATACATAGCTTGACAAGATGTCCCTCTGGGCATCCATAGGTATACTGAAGTTCTTCGCTCGGTACTTTGTTGAACTTATGAATATTGCTATACCTTATTTCACATATCAGTTTATCCATCCATATGACTTTACTGTATCAATATAGGTCATAATATACCTGTAACTCTTACTTCGATTTATCATTGCTGAGGTCTGACCAAATTCCAGCTTACTCTCGTTAGTTATCCTATATGCATAAGTCTAAGTCCTTTAATGTTTCCTCGTTACTGTTCACCTTAAGAATGACGGCCTAATCTCATCTCATGCTTTATAAATTTTATCCATCCTTTGTTGATTCACCTCAATATTGATCTATAACTACCCCTAATAACTTAACCTTTTATGTAACATTGCCGCTAGGGTTCACATTTCATTGGGGAACATCTGAAAGGATTAGACTGATCCACCTGGGCGATACCATGATTTCATAACTATATCTCACAGCATCCCAATGTGATTCACCTTACGTGGGTATTTTAATCCTGTCCAATTCATGAGATCCCTTTCTTTTCTTCATCGGATCATTACTCAATCGAAGGCCCAAACGTCATCCTTTATTTGTCACAATTACACCCTGCTCTATT